AAAAAGGAATTTAATAGGTGAAAAGACAGACACCATGCTCTGCCATTTTATGTCTAAAACATGAAGCACAGTCAAATAATTTCGCTTCATAGAATTCAAACATATCCCAGATAAGATAAATTCTCAAGCACAAAGAATGCTGTATGCTTTGTTTAATATTTGTGCCTACTTCGCCTGCATTATCTGAGTCTGCTACAAGCAGGCGTAGAGTTCTCCAGTTAATTTTAGTTAAATAATTCAATGCCATTTTGTTCAGACGAATGCGACATTCCAGGTTGATTAAAACAACAAGCGGCGCTAAACAACAATACATAATTATCAGTGTTTTTATCATAACAGGATTGTGTTGTATTAAAAAGGCGTTAAACAAAAAATGGCCACCGTATTCACTTGTTTCTGCAAAGTACCATTGGTAGAAGAATAACACTTCAGTAAAGAACAGAATAATCATGGATAACACTAATAAACTAATACAACCGGAAATTGATTCCACTTTGTTTAAGTAATCCTTCATTGAACAATGCACAGAATTGCACACCAACTCACTTGATTTGCTTGTCATCTCATCTGTATTGTAAACTAACTGTGCTGTACAGGCGCATGATGGGGAAGTTGAATCTTCAAACAAAAATTTAAGGTGGTTCTTCAAGTGTCTAATTTCCTTGTTCACAGCGTGTGTTTGAGCTTCGAGGCTTGTTATACAATTTAATACATGATTTTTGAATGCTTTATTAACATATTTATACTTGTCAGAAGTTAGTCTAATCGCCATGAAGAAGTCCTCTAATTGAGTGTAGATTTGAATCGAATTCTTTAACTTACACGTTTCAAATTGTTTACATGAAAGGAAAAGCGTCATTTGTTCAAATGTCTTAGTTAGAAAACAGATATACTCGAACTCTGATTGCAAACTACTGGTGACATTTATATACCTTGATATTAAATAATAAATTGAGCATTGTTCATCGCCTGTCTTGAACATTCTTCGCCATCTTGGCTGTCTGCTCAACCATGCACGCAAAAGATGTAAACGACACAAGGCAAACCAGTGATTCACAATACAAATGAGGGTTTGTCGAGTTAAATTTGTTTCATGATTACTTAATTTTACAAGCTTTGCTATAAGTATGCATAATTTGTAACAAGCAGTCGCCAGAAGTGTTTTAAAAAATTCATCTGATTCATTTGTGATTGGGTATAGATCGAAAATCGCTACATCCACTTCTCGACCTACATCAACAATGAATTCGATAAGTGCTTCAAGTTTCTCGTTGTCTCTGGATAGTAAAAACTGTGCATAGTCATCTCTTTGACGTTCAAAAGTGTGTAATTTTTCTAATGTATTCACTTCTTCTGAATGATATCGTTTCTTTGGATAACCTTGCCAGGATTTTATCAAGGCATTGTGTGCTAGTTTTCCTAAGGTTGTCCACTGTGAAGAAACTGGTTCTCTTCCTGACCTAAAAAATAGTGTTTTTTAATGTGATGTAGTTATTTTAAAATTACCCTACAAACGTAAATTATCAGAAAACCAAAAAAAGTATCCATTGTTTTCGGGAAACTGGGACAGTGTGTGGTAGGTTGTCTAAAAATATGGTTGCTTTGTAGTGTATACCCATAAGCGCATTCGTCTTATAACCTTATTGCAGTTATTTCAATAATCTAAAGAAACATAACTGATTACTGTAGTAAAAGACAGCAGCACAAACTGCTAATGTGAGCATTTGTTCCACCTATTTGCTTCTAAAATGTGTAATAGTTTTAGATCAGAGGAGGTTATTTCAAAATCACCATTTCAAGCGAAGTAAATGTCTGATACTAACTTGAGAAACAAGGCATAAGCATAAACAACTTAACAATGAAGTTCCATCCTCTGCAGGACAACAAAATAAGTATATATATATATATATATGCGACTGAGAGTTAATCATGATTCAATGACACTAAAAATTCATTTGCAAGTATGGAAGATTTGAAGGCTCATACGCCAAATAAGTCACAGTGGAAAAAAATCCTATCTTTGTTCATTTTAGTCTTAAAGATGGTAATATTGCAGAGATAGTTAACTCACTAGCCAAAACCTAACCTTCAGCTAGTTTGGTTCATATTTGTCGGATAACATGCTCTTTGGTTCAGTCAGTAGTCAACAGATATCCAACTCGTAATAACTCTAACTGTGAATACAAATTTACGTGTGTGTACAGTAGAAATTACATTGAGAAGGGCAAACCTTTGATCTACCAAGAGGCCATTACCATACATCTCATCAGTACAGGTCATAGTATAGGTATCATGAAATCCTTTGAAATTATCAGCAGACAATACAGTTCAATTCTCCTCGAGTTTGACGAAGCACTTGACATCAAACGCATAAAACCCGATTGAGAAATAAACAGTTATCAATCTTTCTTTGCCCTGGTAACTGGATGTATTTACTCCCTCTTTTGTTTGATTGCGTGATCCTTTGCTTTAATCTCTCCCCGCCTTTGATATAGTGTAACTTTGCCCGTCTCTTGTTTCTATGATTTGAGTTGAACTCAACATACTTTTACCTAGTTTATTAGTTACTCTTTATCCTCTCATTCAACTCTTGTCTTTATTGCTTAACTCTTTTACTACCGTATCTAAGCATTCATTTTTTCTTAAATTTGAACTTTTTGGGTATTCAAGTGTAATCCCTAAGTTTAGAGTCTCCTAACAGCTGACATTATGTTACGTTTGCAAATGTGTTGAGACTTTTACGTACATAAACTTAATAATTTCTCTAGACTGTGCGCAGCTGATGAGAAACCAACGAAACAAATGTTGGTACCATGTTATTTCTGTACAAACTGTTGTTCATACTTTACTCAAATTCATAAAGGAGAATAATTGTATGAGGTAACTAAAAAATGTCTCGAAAATACCATCGAAATACTAATTTCAGGTTACTTGTATGCTGTTATAAATCTAAACTTTACAACTTTGGGAGGCTTTAAAACGCCGATTGGTTAGGACTCTCGCCGACCATGCACATGGTCCGGGGTTCGAGCCCACGCCGACGCACACATGATATCTATGGTCGGCCTGCAAAATTTGGGCTACCGATATCCATGCTGAAAATTCCACACTTGTACCAAAAATACGGTGTGGAATCAAGCTGTAATCAAAAATAAAATAAATAAATAAATAGAACTTAACGGTTGTTATGTGAAAATTAGAATGAAAAGTGAGTAGTACTTGAATAATTGCCTAACATTTAACAGAGTTTCAATTAGATAGATACGTGTCCATAATGATTATATCACATCTTAATTGAACACTGATATAACATTCTGTTGTGAATATGGTTATTTAGCTAACCTCATTTGGTCAACATGGTAAATTTGCTAACTTCACAAAGAAACAGTTATTAACTGAGTTATTAACTCACAGCTGGTAAAAGTGGTGAGAAGAAATGCAATCAAGCTGCAATGGGCTAAAGTGTGAAGCAGAAAGAGTCAATGCAGATTTTGAGAATCAAGAAGATCACAATGAGTGAACACATCTGTACCATCGGAAACGATTTTGAGGCATGTTGACAACAGTTTCCAACGACTGATTCTTGTCGTTTGGAGGACTCCACCCAGACAGTCTACATCTTCTTACATGGCTCAAATCAGTATTCATGGGACTGGTGCTGAGGCTTCGTGGGTAGTTATTCTATTAGGACTGATACAACAGCTCAAATAAGTGAAGTGGCCAAGAAGCCCAGCCCTTTAACGCCTTATGTCTTAGCTAAAAGTCAGCGTAGACCAGTCCTGTGGCATCGCTTTATATTTGAGAAGCAATGTAATTTTTTTTAAAACAGTATCATGCTGCTTCAGCACGAAAAGAATGTTGCCAAGTGTCTTAGACACATAATAAGACGTAAATATTCTGATGACTGTATACACTAAATGCTGTATGATTCACAGTATATATCCTGACAAAGTAGCTTTCTCTAGAGAACTTCTTAAAATATACATATCAAGACCCAGAGAAATGGTAATTATGGTTACCGTGAACAAGAAAACGTTATCTCTGAAGTTACAAAGAAGTCATGTCAGATGAAAACGTTTAGCGTCCTCTGGACAGATTGGTTGAAAGAGAACTCTCACTACAACTAAAATGGTAGGCAGCTTCTTAACACTGCTGTGTAACCAATTACGTAGGCCGTACTCAGACAGCTTTGGTAATAAATGCCTATGAAGATGTGATAGTATGGTCAGGTAGATGATGTGATAACAATGAACTAACAGTCCTATTTTATCCCACATGTCGGATAATGGATGTCACATAGAGCAAGAGCCGAATTTTTTCAAGGACAGTAATCTATCAAGAAAGCTCTAAGTTTCGTTTAATATTTTTATATTATTGATATTCTAATTTATTATCCCATGAACTTAAATTCAACGTAGTGTTGAAGAGTCCCAAAGTAGAACGGAGCAGCTATTCAATACTCCTAGGTTTTCCAATGGTTCTCCACCTGATATCAGCTCATGATGAAATCTTGTAACTAGTCAAATCCCTGCAAACCAACACTTGAATATTAAAGCAATCAGTCTGTTTGCTTTTCTTCTTTGTCGTATTCATATTTCCTCTCATACGAATAAATACAACTCATTCGTTGAAACTTATATTTCGGCTGATTATAAATATACTAGCGTGTCACTTAGTTGTTTGATCTCATTTTTTTTCATAATTTTAGCGACCATACATTTTGTATTAAATTTAAATAATAATGTGAACCAACAGAATATGATTCCATCTTTTAACTATACTCCAGTACAGTTTCCTGACCAACGAGAAACACAATAGTAGCATAGTTTTATATCCACTTTTTGATGCGAACTTTCTCCACATATAACATGATTTTCCAGTAAAGGGAAGCTTAAATAAAACTGATGAAAAGAAGAGAACTTAACATTTCTATTACTTAATAGTTAACTCATATAAATGTTTACGAAATTTTGTACAGCTTACATTGTTTGTGTAATAGTTAGATAAACTCCGTTTATCAGTCGTGTTCACCTTCAACTTATTGATTTTTTTTTAAATTAATTCCTCATTAACACTTTATTTTTAGTATTATTTTCCTTAAGGGCTGGTTGTTTCTGGTTTATTTTACTCTCGTATTTCCGTTTAAAAGAAAAAAAGAAATTCCAAATGACTGCAAGACCACGACGTTATCCACTTTTAGGCGAGGATGATCCAAACCACATTAAAAGTCAACGAGCATTTACAATTCAGGCAGAACAAGAAATGTGGGATATTGGAATTCCTTCAATTTTAAGAACTGTTTTACCCTTACGAAGAAGTGAATTTAGGAAAAACATAACACTTGGAAAATATCCATTTCAACAAGACCATTCTGGTAGTATGACGCCAATCAAACTTGCCTGGAAAACCGAGATACAGAATGTTGACTTTGGTCTATTATTCCCAGAACTTATTGAAGGTCTTACTGATATAGAGCCAAGCATAGTTAGGATTGCTAAAGCAGCTATTATAGATTTACTAAAGCATGGACCGTTGGATAAACTGATTGACACTTTACCAGTATTGACGGAGGCAATAAGAAGTGCACTTGTCATGAGTAAGTTTATAAAAGATTAATAATTCAATTCGAATTTCAAAATTTTAAGTTTCTTTCGTTTGGCTAACTTCTAAAGGATTTCACTCATATTAATATCCTTTGACTTACCTGGTTATTAAGGAGATCATTTCCATAGTCCAGTGGCAGCACTATCTGTTTCTAGGTGGCAGCTGTCAGTCAGTCTATTTACTGGCTTATTTTGAATGGTTAAAAGCAAGTTTGTCCAGTATGCCCTGTGTTAATGTGAGCTAATTCAGTGCCAACACTGATACAGGTTTCTCCAAATGACAAAGACAATTATATAATAACCTATTTTAAACAGTACACAGATGTATGCAATATCTACGAGAACTGGATGACCTGGTTTCAAAGTATAGATTAAGAGAAATCTGTGCTGGCTGTAATTGGCTGGACACAGTTTTCATATACTTTACATACCAAGACGTTTTATTTACAAGTTATTAGGACGAATGACAGGAGCGTAATTGTACAGCGAAGTTTGCTGTTCGCTAGTAGGTCTTTCGCATGCTTCTGTGATATATCAAACAGGTTACAGAGTTATGCCCAGTCACAGGGACTTAGCTGTAATTTTATGTTTAACGTTGCGTGAACATATGAAAATGAAGTAAGTTCCAACTAAAACCAATCTGTGACCCAGGCACAAGTCTGCCAGATCAGCGTACATGTAGTCCATCACGTAAACAGGTGCAGGCAGCGCAGCAAATGGCGATATTTAAAGAGGGTTCATTTTCATGTTAAAATTCAATGAATGTGAACGGTTGTCGCATGAAATAATACAACGGGAGAATGGGAAGAATAACTACCAGTATGATAAGATAAAACTTAGTTTCTAAGATTTGAAGGGTTCGATTTTGGAAGGACTGTTAAAGTGCCTAAAAACGTTATTGACAATATAGCAGCAAGACACCTAGAAATTAAACCTACAGATGTACCTGCTGGGCGCCACAGGAGCTTCCATTCCATAGGTTTTTCTGTTCTTCTTTATTACTGTTAACATATATACTCAAAATGTAGTTTAAAAACATTCATGAGACATGACTTAGCTGTGTTGCCTTACTACTTGTTTTGTATTTGATCAATATTCAGTCAGACAATTGCAATACACCATACCACTTTGAAAACACGAGTTCTCGTCCGATCACTAGAGTTAAGCAATTTTGGACCTGGTTAGTACTTACAGTGGCGGCCGGATTTTAGTGTTGGTGATTTAACAGTGGAACGCTTGTCAATCAGGTACGTGCTCCAGCTGAGGTACTCCTAAACCTATCTCAGCCGGTATTAAGGCCGGTAAAGAGGTAAAGTTAGGTGTGGAAATAACAAACTCACCTCTTAAAATGATAACCAATGCCATCGAAACTTCGAAGCTTTGTGTTGCACTTGGAACGTAAAGTAGAAAAATGAAAAAGTCAATTTCCGGTGTAATCCAGTCCCCTGCTTGTGTTTTACAATTCCAGTGTTACATTTGGTCGTTTTGCTTCGAAAATATACTTGTGCTGTCAATAATTCTGACACAGTATGATTTCAGCTGAAAGGATGTACCTATTTCATGGAATTTTCAATACTTTTCTACAAATTTTAGTTCTTCTATACCACCGCTGGTAATAATTACAAAATTAGAAAACTATCGGAGTCTTAGCATGCTCACTGGTACTAACAGTCATGTTTGTGCATGCTTAATTTCTTCCTATAATGTTTGACTTATATAAAACACACTTTTCGACATGTAGACTAGTTCACCTTTGTTCTTTAAAGTTTGAACACTTCCTGTGTGTTCCTGTGCGCAGCACTATCTACATTAATGTTTACCTTAATCATATCATCTCTATTTTGTTGATATTTCTCTCCCTCTCAAAGAAATTAGATAAACTTAAATAACACACAAAATGACTGTACTGATGCAATCATTTTAGAGCAATCAAATAATATTCATCCAAAAATGACTTTCATAGTGAATGTAGAATGATGTTTTCCTTCTGTATGCGACTATGAACCTAAGCGTGTTGAGAATTCTCGTTTGACCACAAAACACCTGTCCAAATGCCGTACAATTGTTCCGTGAAAATCTAACTGATCACAACTTTCCTGAAGTCAGTCATCCCATATTAGTTTCATTTGGTAGGCGGAATCCCCTTGTTAGCTAGATGCGTCTGTATTCCTGGTGAGTAGGTAATGCCATCAATGGGACCCTCACCTGGTCTCCATTGTTTCAAAAGCCAAAATCGACATCCAGTAGGCTGCTGGAAATGTGTTCTATGGAATAGGTATCATTACAGTATAGTATATAATTAACTAAGAGGAAACAAATCTCCAGAATGTTAATAAATTTCATTGTTTCTATCCGTTATATATTTTTTCTCCCCTATTTCTTTAAAAAAAAACATTAACAGATAATGTGGAAGTCGCACGACGAGTGTTAATTGTCCTGAGACATATTTGTACAATTCAACCGGGCATAGGACCAGATATATCCTATTACCTACGTGATATTTTCCAACACTTAAATTATTACTTTGAAGCTCACAAAAACTACAACGACCAAATTGTGTACAATCCAAGTTTATCAGATGATTTGTACGATCTAATTGATGATGTTGTCAAACGTTTATTGCAAATATCTGGTAATGAATTGGAAACAGCCGAGGATAACATAAAATTAGCTCTACCAACATATCAAATTAATCGTTTAACTATATAAAGAGAAGTGGGGCGGTTTAACACTTTCATTTCGTTTCTTCTTTTATTTTCTGGAAAAACACTTAGTTTACTTATTTACTACTTATTTGCGTTTAAACAAAGGCTATTTCTCCCACCTGCTGCAGCGAAACTGATACTATCAGAATGACTGTAGGCCATCAGAAAAGAAGTTTTTTTGCAAAATCCTTATTTTTACTTTTATTTTCCAATAATATATTTATTTAATCAAGTATTGGGTGCCTTTTTAAACCAGACTAAGTATGTGCTATATCTTATTGTACGTATCTAAGAATCACGCAGTGACGAAGAGCCCCAAACTAGGACGAAACAGCTGTTCAGTACTCCCAGGTTTTCCACTGGTTCTCTAACTGATGTCAGCTCATGATGAAATCCACCATCCAACCAAACGAAGTTCCTACAAAACCATTACTTGAAAATTGCGATAATATTTGCTTAGTATAAGAGTAGAATTAGTCATCTGCTACGGAAGCTACCTACATTAAGTCGATCAGTCTTGTAAAAATAATACATTATTATCCTCACAAGAAGAAAGAATGTTTGGGGCTGTGGTAACTGATAACTTGAGACTGTCGGTGACACAGCTCAAAATCTTTCAGAATTGCACAAATGCACTCACTTTCTGTGATCTCCCAGATCAACTGAACGCTCGTTAATCCGCATATACCTAATGTTCTCCAGTTTCTTAACTTTTGTTGTATTATTATTATTCCCTTAAGTTCAAAGTGGAAAATAAGGCTCCAACAGCACAAGTCCATTTTTCTTCATGTGATCTGCAGTCTTCTTTAGCTGCCTGGATCCACAGTCGTTCATAAGATTTCATGTCCTCCATTTTACGTCAGGCATCCAGCTCGTCGTTTCTTGTCATTGAATAGTGCGTGATATCACCCAACCGTCTATTCAGTGTAACCCATCGATCTCCGTTTCCCTTAGCACAGTTGTTGGGCTTAAGGCTATTGGTTGGTTTGCTTCCAGATTTCCTTGCTGCTAATGCTTTCTCACCTTCCATATCATCTTCGTCATGGAGAGAGGGAAGGTCGAAGTTGATGAAAGTCTTCGGACTATTGAGAATGATTTTCGTGTCGCCCTAAGTTCCTGACCCATATAGAAGAGTCAACTTAACAATGGTCTGGGAAACTCATATTTTGTCCCTCATGCTGAGCTCAGAAGATTTCCAAACTGATTTCAGAGGGATGAAGGTCTAGCTTACCTTTTCGATTCTGGTTTAGACACCTTCACCTCTTCAGCCTACTTGTAGTTGAATCGATGCTTCTTGGATACCTGAAAGTAGTGACCTTCAGGCTAGTCTTACTCCTGTATTCACATCAAAGGCTTCGGCGAGTTTTCCCTTGTGGATCACTTGACATGTGACATCTTCATAAAGCTGTTGAATGAGGTTAGTCAATGTTTGAATACTCTATGTTGTCGAAGCAGTTGTTTAATAGACTCACACTCAGTGCTGTCAAAGGTCTTTTCAGCGTTGAGGTAGGGATTTAATTGCTATTCCATTCTCTTTTCGACGATAATTCGTACAGTTATCTTTTGGATACACACATGATTTTCTTCTCTTTATTCCGAGAGGGGTTCTGCATCGCGTGCATCGTTTAGTCGCCCGAGAATCACACGACTTAATATTTTGTGTGAAGCATGACTCCTCACCAGTTTTGCGAGCGCTTAAGTCACCCTTTTTCCAATCATAGCTACCTTTGTTTACTTCTAAACTTCCTGCTATAGTGGAGCGAGCACATCCACGCAGGTTTCTGGATCCCTCTACACTGCCTCCAGAGGAATTTTGCCTAATCCTCCTGTCTATCCGACGCTCAGAAAACTCTGTGGCATTCTAACATTCCGCTTTTGTCGGAGGATTGGTGTATTGTGGCTGTTCGTGGTATTTTTTAACGAGTTCCAGGTGATGATCGATTCAAGAATCTTTTAAAGTGATCGGCCTACTGTTTCCTTTGTTTTTATTCTTTGGTAGTCGGTCGTCATCCAATGGCCACTACATATACGCAGTACTGTGAAGAAAACTTAACCGATGATTAACAGCAATGTAGGCAGAACAGCATTGTTCTCCGCTGACGACACTCCTGCTCTATCCCGTTACTCTTATGTTACTGGTGCTAAATGTGACACTTGCTATAAGAGTAACATATATTGACTAGTTGTAATATCTTAACCCTAATGACCACTTTTCTTACACATTGTTATGTGCTATTGGATGCCAGTAGGTTAACTCTTGACTATATTAAAATACAACAAATAAATTTGTGCAAACGTACTCCATTAGCCTACATCAAATACTAGTTTTTAAGCGTTAGAAGCATATTCCCGAGTATCTGCTTCTTTTTAATTCATCTCTTGTCATCAGGACTTACAGGTCCTAAAAGGTACTGATTAAGTGGATACTTCATCTCATCGTATTTCGCAGGGCTGGTAAAGTGATATATATTAGAAACATATCCGGTGCATTACGCTCGATTCATTTTACGATAAACATGGACTTTGAGTTCTACTTATCGAACTACTCACATAGTTCGTTCCACTGTGACCGAAATTCACCACTTCTACAGAAAGAGTGATTTGGACTGTGACGTGACTATTGTCCTCAGGAACAGAGACTCTTGGACGTCCTACCATGTCAGATGGGTTGGTTGAACTAGAAGCAGTTGCTATCATAGTGTGAACTACTTAAGATTTAGTAGTTTTTGGGGATGAAGATGTGTTGTCGGAGGAAAGTAGTGAGACACAAGTAAAGTATGTCCCTGTGATCAGCTGCAATCTAAGTTTACTACTTCGCCCCTCTAGAGCGGGAGATATTGCATCCTCGTATTTTTGTAGCCAACAATAACCTCCTTTTATCTGGTGAATGTCTTTAATTGGTTCGCTTGTGACTAACTTCAAATAGATATTTCATCAGCTACGGGACTGATGTATGTCAACCATTTGTCACTTTATAATCACTCTTCATTTTTCTCACTTAGAGATTCACATCGCTCTCTAAATTCCCTCCTACAGCCTTTTCGGATGGCTTGAGCTCATGGTGCAACAGACTCTGTCTCTGAAATCCATCCTACAAAGTGTCGTATTCTGTGCCAAGTCGTAAAGCATCATTAGTCATCTGGTGGACATGTGTTTATGGTGTCTCATTTAACCAAAATAGCCAAATAATGTACATCACCTCTGGAATGTCTGAGACCAATGATAGTCGGTTCTTGTGGTCCTGTGTGTTCAGACGCACCTCAAAGTCACGGAGCAGAAAGTGTACTGGGTGAATTAGTTTCGGTTGACAGTTGCATGTGTACTATACTGCGATACTTTTAAAACTAAGAAGGCTTGTCACAGACTCATATGTCTCCCTCACTTTCCCCCTTACAACCTCACTAACTGCAGCTTAGATTCATCAAATCAGGTGTTCCACAGGCAGTATCTCGTCTGTGATAAAAAGGCAGACATGCAGAAACGTTGATCATAGTGATTGAAGAGGCAGATGAACCTATATTACAACGACCAAGTAACTAAATTATCAATGTAGAAGTTAGCCCAAAATTTCAAGTTTGCATACACCTTCAAGGCACTTATGGAGGAAGAAGTAATAAATGCGATTATACTACAGTAAACAAACATAAGTGGGGGGAAGGTTAATTACATAAAAACTAGTGAGGGTTTTCGGAATCTGGAAGATGACAAGGAGTGAATGTGCTTACACTATTGAGAACACGTGTCCTAATCACCTGAATCGGTCGAGCATTACAACCTTTTCGATTCACTTTCCTCCTTACCCAAGGCTACATCTAACCTCGTGTCACAATGCATCTAAGTAATCCCTAAACAGAACCCTATATGACTGTCAATGGTGAACTATCACTCCAGATGTTCTCAAATGTCTACTTGTTTCGACCCAGCTGTAGGTTCAGTTCTGAGGAATTGATGGACACAATGCCGCTGTTTAACTCAAAAGATACAACAGTGGGTACGAATTCAGTTTTTTGCATCCAACTATCGTTGGAGGTCAATGAAATATCATCGGTATTTTAGAGTATAGGTGGAGATATTGACCTTTCAATGGTCTTTACTTGCACATCCATATGTTATCGTGTTAACACGATAAGGCTAGACTTGGGACACGCTTTGTGGGTTTATTCAAGTGTTGGGGATTTTTAAGGTGTCACCTACGCACTCAACTTTCTCTCTATAGGTGTAGAGCAGCATTACCAACCATCATTTCATTTAAGTGGCTGCTGTCCTGCTACATGAGAAGTTCGTTCTGGATAATTGAGTATTAGCTAACTAAGTAACTAACTAAAACTAACCAGTGATCATGTACGGCGCAGTTAAAAGTGCCCCGAGACGCGTAGCAGAAAATAATCACTCTGCTCGGTTTAAATAGTGTTAGTAGCATCTCCAGTATGTTGACCGATTAGTCACGTATATACTTTGAATGACCTCTAAAAAAAAGAGGGATTAGGGACGTTGAACGTCGACAGCTTGCATGACCTGACCCCGGTTGCCGATAATTTTTCTTATTCCGTTTACAATAGTTAGGTAGTTGTGCCAATTTTATAAGTAATATTTCCAGTATGTCAGAAATATAAACACCAGTTGAATCTATTGATTGGAAATTGACAATGACTAATAGAGGAACTACAGTTAATCCACTTTTCTCATCCTGGAAAACAAATTTTGTTGACTGTTGTACACGCGGGATTTTACTAAATTCGACGATTTTACAAATCGGTAATCGTAAATAATGCTGTATGACTTCACACTATGTGAAATAAAAGTTTCGACTATAAAATTATACTTTGCTGTACTACATTGTCTATGTTCTCTGCCTACATTTACTTGACTTCTACTTCCTATGGAAAGCGTCTGCGTTAACTAATACTCTACTATACCTGATACTATGCTCTCTCCTGTCTTCTTTCCGTGTGTATATGGTTCCTCAGTCTGAGCAGTCGATCCAATCGTCTGAAAACAAGACAGAATTCGAAAGTATCAACCATCGTCTGGGGAAATATCCAAAACCGTTCTTATCTCTCTGTTCTACTCGGTTTTGACTATTGTTATCGGAGTGCCTTTATGGCGGAAAACAACTACACCATATCATCCCCATCTACCTTACTCTAAGACTAGTGAGTTAAGCTCACGACCTGCT